CACACACACACACACACACACACACACACACACACACACACACACACCCGCCACACCTCTTGGTGTCTTTTGTCCTAGCTTGTTTGTTTCTGTGGTTATCTTCAAGTTCAGCTAGAACCTATGGGAATGACTTAGTTTTGAACTTGTGAGAATGAGAAATAAACAATTCAACCAAATCAAATCAGTAATTATTACAGTAAGGTGTAACTAGTTACAGAAATTCTAAAATTACAGTTTTAGGCTTTGAAAAAATATCACTGTTGATAAAGGAAGAATGACAGTCTTTGTTTTGGGTCTTGGAATGGCAGAAAGAAAAAAGTAGGGAGTAAAAATCAGTGTTCCCTTTGAAGTGTGGTGAGGAAGTACATGTTTTGATGCTGTGTGTGCATGCACACATGTGTGTGTGTATGTGCGTGTGCACGTGCGTGCATGTGTATGTGTGTAGAATTTTCCTAAATTTAAAATGATACTTATATTTCTGTGAACCCAGAGAGTTAATTAACATGGCATAAATGTGCTAGCTCAGTGTTGTTTTTCAGGGAGAGAACTAGAGAGAGACACAAATCACCCCGGAGTAAAGATGGCAGAGGGTCAGAAAAGTCTGTCACCATTCAAGCTCCCACTGGAGAGCCCCTGTTGGCAAATGATTCTACTCGGACAGAGGAAGTTCAGGTAAGGATCAAAGGCGGTCTGTAAGCACACTGCCACTTGGCCAAGACTCCTTTCTGTAAATGTTTTCCTAAGTCTTGTTGCAGTAGGTTCTCTTGGGTTTTTGTCTTTATTTTCCTAGCATGCTAATTAGTTTATCTACGTCCTATGGTGTCTTGTTGGTCTAAGAACAGCCTGTCCTGCCCTTTGGTAGCTTGGGGATTCTTCCGAAGTATGATTGGTTGGCCTGCTTTGCATGGTGTGGAAAAGAAGCCGGCCAGGTTGATGACAGGGAAGGGAAGGGAAAAGCTGAAGTCTCCCACGACTCATTTCAAAATGGAACAGTATAAGAAGGAGAAGGAAACCCAGAAAACCTATGTAGTGTTAAGAAGAAGAGGGGAAAACGTGGGGCAGCCCAGACCGACCATTACTACTAGATCTATGCAGTAAATCAGAGGCTGCACCTACAGATACCTGGCAGAGGAACATAAGTTAATTAAGGAGGCCCTGGGTCGAAAAGAGGGGGCAAAAATATCTCAAACAAGCTTTGGGTTAACAGTAGTCTGCGCATTGTCTCAGTGTCACTGCTGTTGTTTGCAGTGAAGGAGGCTGTGGCAGACTGGAGAATGCATTTTCTCTGCAAAGGAAACAGAAGCTCTGCAGCTCCAGACACCTACTGTTGCTCAAGAATGCAAGGATTCAGTGTTTAAGAAAAGCTGGAAATCCTAATTTTATATTATTTTTGAAATATACTTTATTTTTTAAAACGTTGAGTGGGTTCTTCTCGAGGTTCCAACTGGCAGCCCATCTGATTTAAATAAACATCTGAGCTATACACGGAAACATGTTTGCACACCCTCTGCACATCCTGAAATATATATACACGTGTCCAGCCTTGCCCCTCATAAACAAAGCAGTGTATGATACACAGCTGTAAAGACAGATATAGGACTGTAGATAAGCATAAATCTGTACCTACCTGTGCGTACACACAGGTAAGTATTTATAATCAGATAGATGGACTTGGAATTCCTAGGAGCACACAAGGTGTTCTTAGGACACAAAGCTACAGTTGTGGGTTGAACATGAGGTTCATTGAGCAGTGAGCAAATGCCATTAGTGCTGCCTTCTTTGGCTGTGGGATGGCTGATGGTTGGATGGGGCCAATCCTAGGACTGGGTCACCCTGGAGCACTGAAGGGGGTCACTTTCCTCCTGGATGTGCGTTCAGAGGTGCCGGTGGCCTACAATGAAGGCTCTTCTTTCTCCGCATCTCCTCTGCACCTCATAGCTGAGAACTACTTTGGGAAGCTATTGGTGCTGCCCCGGGATGATCTGGTAAGAAAAGCATTGAGATGGGTGTTTGGAGGCTGTATTTCTCAGTAGCCCTGTTACCTTGAGCAGCCACAGCCTTTGTAGGCCTCAGTTTCTTTATGAAAATCTAGGGGTTTTGATGAAAGGATCCTAGGTCCTTTTTCTTCTAAGAACCTCAAGCTTGGCAGGACCCTTTGTACATGTACATTTTTTAGGCATGTGTGTGCACCCCGGGAAATTCTCTTGTGCCCTTCCTAGTAATCTCTGCCTCACCCTTGCCTCTCCAAGGCAACCACTGTGTTGATTTCTATCACTGTAGATTAATTTTGCCTGTTTTTGAATTTAATATAATTAGAATCATATGGTCTGTCTCCCTCGCACCCACCACCCTGCTCAGCATAATAATTTTGAGATTTATCCATGTTTTGGTATGTTTCAACAGCTTATTTTTTTTTACTTTTGCTGAGTAGTATTCCATTGTATCAGTGTACCACAATTTATTATCCATTCTTTTAGTTGATGGCATTTGGGTTGCACTATTTTGGCTGTTATGAACATACTTCTTGTTGTCTTTTGTTGGATATTTCTTTTTTTTTTTTTTTTTTTTTTTCTCTTATGACAGAGTCTTGCTCTCTCGTCCAGGCTGGAGTCCAGAGACGCGATCTCAACTCACTGAAGCCTCCGCCTCTGGGGTTCAAACAATTCTCCTGCCTCAGCTTCCTGAGTAGCTGGGATTACAAGCATGCAGCACCATGCTCGGCTAATTTTGTATTTTTAGTAAAGACAGGGTTTCATCATGTTGGCCAGGCTGGTCTCAAACTCCTGACCTCAGGTGATTTGCCCACCTTGGCCTCCCAAAGTACTAGGATTGCAGGCCTGAGCCACTGCGCCCAGCTGGATGTATGTTTTTATTAATTTTTGGATAAAACCTGAGAGTGGAATTGCTGGGCCATAGAGTTAAGCGTATATTTAAATTTATATGAAATAGCCAGAGTGGTTTTCCAGAGGCACTGTGTCATGGTCCACGTCCACCAGCAGTGTCTGAGAGTCCTGGCTGCCTCCGGCCATCATCTTAAATAGGAATTTCTTAAATAGGAATTAGGTGTGTGTGATCTGTCTCACTTTCCAAGTTGAAGGATTATTGGTTCATAGGATTGAGACCTTCACCACCACCACTTCTTACCATAGCCCATACATTTCATAATTCATGGTTTTTTGGTTATTACTAGATTTGGGATTATTTGGTTATGAGCAATATCTGTCTTGCTGATTTAGCTACTAACTTGAACTAGCTTTTTCTAAGTTGGTGTCCTACTTTCACCTACTTTGTCACTACATCTGACTGTTTTTTCCAAGTGAAAGGATACATATGAGTCTCTGAGACAAAAGCCCTTTGGCCCCTGTGTCTTTTCAGTGCCTTGCCCTCTTACTGCTGCATTATTATCACCAGTTGTTTTTAAACGCCAAAATCCTTTAAAATTCTATCACCTGGATCTTGCTAAATGAATAGACTAATTGCTCTAACTAGCAACTGCCTAGAAGTTTAAAAAGAGAGGAAGCTGGAAAGTAAAAGATACATTATAGTAACCCTGGTTATTTCTCTGCCCTTGATGTTTAGTTTGTCATGAAAACACATTTTAGAAAGAATTTTTAAGCCAATTTGGCCATAAATGGATTCTTGGATTTGCTTAGATTGGTGCATGAGAAATATTGTTAAACAGTGCTTGACACTGATACCTGTTAAGTGGGCCTTGTGAACATCATATGGAGATTTTAAAATGTGGATCCTAGCTGTAGGTAAGTTGGGGTTTGTGTAGTGGTGTGAGTTCCTTTGGTATGCCCTTAGCTCTTCTGGGCTGCTGGAGGGTGCAGTAATACTCCCACCTCCAGAAGTTGGACTTAGTAAGCCTTTATAACCCAGTGTGAATTGGAAAGAAAATGCACGTGGTTTATCTCTATAGATGAGCTCTCACAAGTTTAGTCTAACACCTGGATTGCGCATTGCAGGGCAAACAGCTCGAGGCCCTCAGAGCCCGCTCAAGGCTTTTCAGCACAGGGGATGATGATCAATGTTATGTCAATGAATCACCCAAACAGATCACAGTATGTTTTCTCTGTTTGAAAAGGTGGATACCTCATACATTTTGAACATTTCAATGAAAATTGTTTGAGTTAAAAAGTTCTAATATTTAAAGAGTTAAGCTTTCATTTTCTGGAAGCCTTTGTGAATAGGGCTGGGTCGCTGTGGCAGGCCCTGCATGTTCAGTGCTCTTTGTAGCTTTTACAAATGACTTGCTTCGTGTCATCCTCACTGTCTTCTCCCCGCCAGGATGACAACTGGGGAGAGACCACCACGGCCATCACAGGCACCTCGGAGCACAGCATATCCCAAGAGGACATTGCCAGGATCAGCAAGGACATGGAGGACAGTGTGGGGCTGGATTGCAAACGCTACCTGGGCCTCACCATCGCCTCCTTTCTTGGACTTCTGGTTTTCCTCACCCCTATCGCCTTCATCCTGCTACCTCCGATCCTGTGGAGGGATGAGCTGGAGCCTTGTGGCACAATTTGTGAGGGGCTCTTTATCTCCGTGGCATTCAAACTCCTCATTCTGCTTATAGGGACCTGGGCACTTTTTTTCCGCAAGCGGAGAGCTGACATGCCACGGGTGTTTGTGTTTCGTGCCCTTTTGCTGGTCCTCATCTTTCTCTTTGTGGTTTCCTATTGGCTTTTTTACGGGGTCCGCATTTTGGACTCTCGGGACCGGAATTACCAGGGCATTGTGCAATATGCAGTCTCCCTCGTGGATGCCCTCCTCTTCATCCATTACCTGGCCATCGTCCTGCTGGAGCTCAGGCAGCTGCAGCCCATGTTCACGCTGCAGGTAGTCCGCTCCACCGACGGCGAGTCCCGCTTCTACAGCCTGGGACACCTGAGGTAAGAGGCAGCACCCAGGAGGAAGAAGGGACAGCTGCCGCCTTGCTGGGAGACAGCGGCTCTGTATTACATGAGGGGTGGTGACAGATGCCAAGTGCGAGGACCAGGGAATGACTCTTTTCTGGTTTGGGAAGCGGAGATGCTAGCGTGGGGGGGGGTCTCCATGTTCACTGAGCTTGGGGTGAACGCAGATGGCGCGGGGTGGTTGCTGGCTCTCACCCGGGTTGAGGTTTTGCTGGGCCTGTTCTCAAAGTTGTTGGCAGCTCCCAAAAGTGATGGAGAAAGGAGATGCATAGTGATGGCTGCCTACTTTGATAATGAAATTGGCCTATGGACAGTGGATAAAGTGACCAGCGGCTCCCTTTTGTCCAAAATGTGATATCTGGTTTGCCACGTTGTCCCAGTGGAATCATTAATTGTTCCTTTTTTTTCTACTCTCAGAGGCCTGGTTTGGGCAGTGAATTAAATGGTCATCCTAGGGACCCTCCAATAAAGAATCAAGTGCAGGTTAGAGACTCCAAATGTGTAAGCCTTGAGTGTTTTGAAAATTGTATGCCCGAGAAAAAGTTAGAAATCAGTTGGGTTGTCATACGTTAAATCTCTACATAAGATCTTATTATTTTATGGTTAAATAAGAGTGATTACCATCATTTTATTTACTTCAAGGTACGTACTTTATATAGATTGTATATTTAGTCTTCATAGAACCCTGTGACCTAGGTATTATTAATCCCCGCATCACAGATGAAGAAACTAGGGTTTAGAGGATTTGAGTAATTTGCACAAAAACATGGCTAGCCTCATTTAGGATTCACTCAAATGAGGCCAGGGCTGAGTAAACGCCCTCATAATGGCATCTCTCACTTTGTAGTTAGTGGCCTATTTTTCCATTTGTTTTCTTCCACAGACTATGAACTCCCTGAGGCCAGGGGCTGCTCTTACACCTCATGACATCCTCAGTGCCTGGCATGGAGCATGGCACACAGTTGGCACTGAGACGGTCTCTGGGTGAATGCAGAGCTTGGGATATCTGACTTCAAAACCTTTGCCTCTCCCAGTCTCTCTGCCTCCCTAGGCAGTATATGCTTAAGTGTTTAGTCTGCTTGGCACAGAGTAGGCACTTAGTTCATTGTAGCTATTACTGCTGTGATAGTGTAGCTGGCAGAGCAGCCAAGATCAGCAAGGGCACACCTTAGTGGGTATCAGAACAATCGGCTTTGTCATAGATTTGGCTGGGCTCCAGGGAGGTGGCTTGGCCTGTGTTTGGTGTGAGGCCACACTGCCAAACCGTCTTCATGTTGGCATGTACGATCCTTCACTCCTCTGGTTTGGCTTGTTCAAGTTTACTGCTACCCTAACTGACCCTTGGTGGAAACGGGTGTCCAAGTCACATGTCTGTGCATCAAAAGTCTGGTGTTTTGAGTCCTTCACAGACACCTGTAGGGCTCTAAAGACAAGCAGGTCACTGTTTCGCTGCATATTCATCTCAGAAGGATTTCTTTCCCCATGTTTGGTGTTGGGGCATGACCAGCGGATTTGTGTTAAACATCTGTTGTGTGCAGAGCCCCGGACACACCAGGCCAGCTGCCTTCAGAACTCTGTCTCAACACCTGTGGCGCTCACAGTCACTTGGACAGAGACCAGTGCACCGCTCTCTGGTGGACAGGTGCAGAAACAGGCCTGGGGGAATAGGAGATAGGAACACAGGAGGACAGGGAATTTCAGATTGTGGCAGCAATAAAGCCAAGGAGGCGACAGTCTGTCTCAGGACATGTTTTGCTGCCGTTAAAGTGGTGGAGAAAAATCCGGCGGTGGTCACAGTGGAGAGGAGTGATATTTGGGACTCTGTATGTGTAAGTAGCCAAGACACTGGCCAGGAGTGAGGTCTATGGCGGTTTTTTGGTCCTCAGCCCTAGTTGGTGTGAATCCCACCTGCGTAGGTGGGAAAGGGCAGGGCGTCTTCTTACCGCAGGTCATCCAGGGTGGTGGGCCTGACTTCCCCCCGTGGGCTCCCACACTGCTCCTCCCTGTAAGACTGGTTGAGCTGCATGCTGCATCTGAGTGGGGGTGGAGAGGGGACAAACCAAACAGCCTGAGGAAAGTATGCCCGTGGCGTGTTCAGAAAACGTAATTAGCAGCAGCTCTCGCCTCTCACCACACAGCTCTGCTGGTCAGGGCAGAGCTGGATGGGAGAAGCCAGACTGTGCTGTCTGGCTCCCAGGCTTGCTGCAAACCTCTCAGTCTGTTCTCACCGTGTCCAACAACTGTCCAGGCTTTCAAAAACTCAAGTCAGTCACCCCAGCTCCCCGGGGAGACCTGGAAGGTGGCAAGTGCCCAGCAGGCCTAGGGAGAGCTTTCTGAGGTGGTCCCCAGCGTCATCCCTTCAGCATCTCTTTAAGGCCATTGGTTTTCCTCCTCTCCCTGCCTTTAATAAGGCCCCCTTTGTCCCTCTCATGGAGACCCTGGGTTAGGGGGTGGAAAGAATGGCTGGGGAAGGAGGGACGTCTTTAATGACAAATGGAGCCTTCAGGCAGGGCCAGATGCCCAAGTGACAGCCAGTCTGCCAGAGCTGGAGCAGGCTTGGCACCTTTCCTCCTGGCATTGTGTGGGCCTGGTCACCCGCCGATCCTTGGGCTAAATCTGGTCTGAACCCAGCAGTGGCTGGAAGAGTTACTGGGCCAGAAATACAACTTCTAAGGCCCTTTGTGAAGTGTAGAAACAGACAGGAGGGAAGAGGGAGCGGGAATAGACAAAGCGAGCTTCAGAGATCAGAATAGCAGGTCTCCATCAGACCCAGCAGAATCACAGGCTGTCGGCTCTCCCTTTATGTAAAGCCTTCAGCGTGGTAGCAGCCTATCGGGCTTACGTACCAAGCGATGGTGAGTTCTTTTTTATGTTTTCAAAGATGATTTTATCGAATTGACTGAACTATTTTTGAGAGTTGTCAAAAGAATGCCTACTCTTTAGTTTCTTAAAGAAAATAGGGTTCTCGTTAGTTCATCAAAGGCACTTGCTGGTGGCCCTGCTTGTTGGAAGGAATGAGGTTTGGGGCTTATTTGAAAACTTTCAAAAATATAAAAAAGTTGTTGCAGAAAGTAAGATACTGTAAATAGATTGAGATGCTTCCTAACCTCCGCCCAGTGCCCTAGGAGTTACAGAAAGTTTTTCATAGGTGTGGACTCATTTACCGCTCCTTGCTGCCCTGTCAGAGATCAGAGCAGGTGGAATCAAGGTGTCCCCTTTTACAGTTGAGGTCCCCAAGCCCTAGAGTACGGGACTGCTCAAGGTCACAGGGGACCAGCACCTTCCTGAGCATCACGCCCCTTACCCCACCACACTCTCTATAGCATCCTGGAGTCTCACATGGTCGCTTTGTGATTTTCCATACACACCTTGCTTGTCACTTTTGTTGGCCCCGTTCTCACAATAAGTTGCTAACTTTTCCAGGATTTTACCAGAGACTAATTTCTTTTGATATTCCTTTATTTGAGGAGAAACCCGGAAAAATAGAAACTGAATAGAGACTAAAAAATGGCATTCAATTATCTCAATAATTTCTTGGTTCTGAAATCTCTAAAGGGAAATACTGTGAATATTGGTGCACAGACACAAGTGTAATTGACTGGTTGAATGTGAAATGGTAGAACAGCAGAGACAAATAAAGAAAAGCTTAACAATAAACAATAACATAGTCTTTACTGGGTGCCAGGTACCTTCTAGTCTTTTAACATGCAACTCAATTTTCACAACAGTAATGTGAGGTGGTAGGTTCTGGTAGCCTCCTTTTCAGATGAGCAGGCTGAGGCGCGGGAGAGTTGAGTAAGTCCAAGGCCCCACGCTTTGTAATTGTGGGATCCAGGATTTGAGCCTAGGCTCTCTGGTTCCAGAATGATCTTACCCATTTCACTATTACTACCCTGAAGAGATAGGTTCATGTTCACATCACTGCTTTAGGAACAGATGAACAAATCCGGAAGCATTTTTTGAGTGTTTCCCATGTGCCAGCCTGTGTACTAGCTGTTTTTGTATACATTATCATATTTCATTTAACACAGAGCTTAGAGCTGGAACAGAGAATGTGGAGGATTGTCAAGATGGCTTGCACTCTGAGGTTCATTCCTTAGCTCCACTGGCTGTTTTATTCACTCAGTTGACAAAGTCTGGTCCTGAAAGTCATAGCAGTAGGTTTGAGCCTTTGGTCAGACCTTTTTAACCTCCTGTACTTCACATGTCTCAAAGAAAACATCTTTTATCTGTTGTTGTGTAACAACTCCCCCACCGCTTAGTAGCTTAAAACAACCAATTCAGTATTTCCCACAATTCTGCAGCATGGATTGGGCTCAGCCAGGAGGTTCTTTAGCTGATCCTGCCCACGGTCCTGTGTGATTATACTCACATGACAAGTGAGCCAAGGCTGACTTTCTTCTGTGTATTCTCCCCTCCTTCTAGTGGCCTCTCCTTGTCGTTTCTTTATTAGGGTTGCTAGATTCCTTAAATGGCAGCTCAGGGCTCCCAGGAGCACAAAAGCAGAAGCTCCCGGGCCTTTGAAGGTCTGGGCCTGGAATTGGCCCAGTATTATTTCTTTTTTTTTTTTTTTTTTTTTTTTTGAGACGGAGTTTCGCTCTTGCTACCCAGGCTGGAGTGCAATGGCGCGATCTCGGCTCACCGCAACCTCCGTCTCCTGGGTTCAGGCAATTCTCCTGCCTCAGCCTCCTGAGTCGCTGGGATTACAGGCACACGCCACCATGCCCAGCTAATTTTTTGTATTTTTAGTAGAGACGGGGTTTCACCATGTTGACCAGGATGGTCTTGATCTCTTGACCTCGTGATCCACCCGCCTCGGCCTCCCAAAGTGCTGGGATTACAGGCTTGAGCCACCACGCCTGGCCGGCCCAGTATTATTTCTACTGCATTCTCTTGGTGAAAGCAAGCCACAGCCCTATCCCATGTTTAAGGAGAGAAGACGACACAAGACAGAGACTACTAGGTTGTTGGGTTCA